GACTTCCTGCCCCTTGGGCAGGGGGCTGGACCCGATGATGTTGCGAGGTCCCTTCCAGGCCCACATCAATGTCTATGAAACATCTGTGCTGTGGGGACAATTCTTCCATGGCATGAAGGGAAAAGAAAAGAAAAAGTCCTTTCTCTCTCCAGGTCTCTAACTGGCAATTTAGGAGTGAAGAGCACTGGATGGCTTTTTAATTAGTGTGAAAGGGAGAGTGAAGTTGCACATCAAGGTTATCACTGGTGAAAAGCCAAAGTGTAAGCAGAAATCTTCCCACATGTCTCCAGTTACTAGAGGGTGGGTGGGTGTGTGTAGACAATAACTGTGCGAGCAGATAGTTGTGATTTCTGCCAGAATGTTTCCTAATACATTTAATGCGATCGGTAAAACTGTCACAGGCTGACAGGAATTGCTCCATTTTGTTTCTTGACTATTTTCAGCTGGCATTTTTTAAAAAAAGAAAGCAAATATGAATCAGATGACTCAGGACTCATTACCCCCAAGTAATGCACAGCACTTACAGCACACCTTGCCTTTCACCTTCACAGTGCTTTACAGCCGTACTGACGATAGCTCTCACCCTGGGGAGGCAGGGTCAGGATTATTGTCCCTGCTAATGGGGGTCGCACAAAACCAAAGCAAAATTGATTCAGCCAAAGTCACAAAGAGAGCCTGTGTCCAAGTCAAGATTCAGACTCAGAGCAGAGATGGGCAGCTTGTGCTGGGGTCACGGCTCCCTTTGTTTGCAGGTCTGCAGGGAAGATGTTAATGCAGCTGGGCAATATGAAGTTATTTCCTATGCACATGCCCATGCTAGCTTTAAATTGGCTCACTTGGGTCCCCTTGACAGTGCAGAATAGCACAGAGCTCAGTGCAGACTTGCTGCTTGAGTATGTTCCTGGGCAGGCTTTCCAGATGACACTGTTCTGTGTTTCCATGGCTCTTCAGCCAGCGGCCCCCAAGCTAGCCAGATAGGCTATCAGCTCTGACCATTCTGTCTCCAGTTTGTGACCAACCCTCTAAATGGTCAGACGAGAAGACAAAGACCCACCAGAGACAGGAAACATAAAAATTCTGGTAGGACTTAGAAAAACTTTCGAGGGGCAGGGAGAGCTGAGAGGAACCAGACTGACACCACATCCAGGAACTTATTGGAGTGTCCCGGGCAGCTGGACATGCTGCCATGGGATGGGAAGACTTTGCACAAAGTAGTCTTGTGTGTTTGAAGATGTTTTTCTTTCAGTAATGCTTCATTCCTACTGCCAGTCAGACAGTAGTCTTGTTTAACAAAGGTTTTTACCACTATGTATCACTGGTGATAAATTCTCAAAGGGAAGAACTGTAGGTCCCAGATCCAGTCGTTCCTGCCGGGAGAAGTGATTGGCACAGCTCTGTTCTCAGTCCATGATTGGGACCATGGGAAAATCCTGCTCCAAGTCCTGTTAGCACCAGAGATCAACGACATCAGGATGCACTTAGGC